GTACCCCCTGACTGTATCTGGGCACCCACTACCAACTCCCCTACCATCCACGTGCAACTCCCTCCCCCCAACTCGCACGATCTAATAGCCGAACGCCAGGTATCGCTACCAAACATACCTGGCAAACTGCCAACCGGCGACGAAGAGACTCGCCGCGAAATAGCGTTAACGGAAATGCAGAGTATTAGCCGAGTTTTAGCAATTGCCCCAAACGATGTCATTCCAACACTGTAGTGAGGCATCTTGCCGACTAATAGAAGACAAATAATCGGCGCAGTAGGCTTGCTTTTGTGATCATGCGCTTTTGTGCCAAATTTGAAGCAGTCAGGTCATTAATAGTGTGAGAGTGGTTGTTACTTTACATTTAGCTTGCCCACTCATTACCGTAAATTTTGCATGAGGTGACGGCTCGTTCGCTGAAAATAGTCCTATTTATTAGCAGTTTCCCTGCCAAAGATGTCGTTTATCCATACGTGAGAACCAGGCATACTTAGAAACTGAATTTGGAATCAGTGGGTTGCAAGTGGGTAGAGAACATTACTCCAAAAAAAGTTCAGCTTCCTGGCCTGCCTGGTTCGAGTTAGTTAGTATTTCACTTGTCTGCATGTGAGGCTCAGACGTGCGTGAAAGTTGACACCAGGTTCCTGGGGAAGCACTGGATCGGGGTACCCACTGGCAGAGTTTCAGCATCAGGTGTTGCCTGCTTGCCGGGTTGAAATACTCGGACAAACGAAAACATACGCACACGTACCTGGGTCGTCGCATTATGCGTTTTCGCATTTGCACAGATGCGCAAAAACCTACAAAAATGAATTATAGTTTACCAAGATTGGTAGTGCTATAAGTCACGAGATTTCTGCAGTTGTCTCTGTGGTGGTGGTGCGGCGAGGAAGCATTTTGCACACAGTGGCTGATTGTGACGAAATGGCACATAATTGTTTTGCAGGAGGACGCATCATTTGCTCAAAAGCATTTTGCCACCAAGCAGTGAGTTCGTTCTTTTGCTGCGTAAGAGTCCGATCCAGAGAATCCTCTATCGCGCTTTTCTTCAATATGCACACGCTGAGATCAACATAAACGGCACGGCCATCTTCAATCCACTTAAAGCTTTCGCCGTTTGCTCAAAAGTATGTCACTGCAGCAGTGTTTTTTCTGCTCGACTCACGCAAGTATTTTGCCATTTTCTTCTTGCAGTGTTTTATCCTGGAAAAAAGGCGAGTGATCCTGTGCGTCGTTTTTGCTAGATTGTTGGGCACAGTTGTTAACCTTTGGCGGGCATGAAGTTCTGTTTTTTTGACACTAAGCCTTACCGGATAGTTAAACTGAAGCAATTTTATTGAAGATAGGCAGTGCTAAAATGTTTTTCTCTAAACGAAAGCGCAGGTAACAGTGCGTTCCAGGATTTCCAGTTCGATCAGGCTTTTTACAGCTTGGAATTTGTTGTGCGTGAAAGCTACCATTACCTTTTTCGTGGCTCATGAAATGAGGCGCTATTTTCATAAAATTTTAGCTTTCTTGCCTGCTTGAATGCCAAGAAAGAGGGATGATTGCAGCGCTGTAATTTGGAAGTTTGATGTGTTTATACACGGGATACATACCTAAACAGAAGTTCATTTTATGCCGACTGGTCCGTACATGAGCAGCATACATCCTCAAAAAAAAAAAAAGAAAAATATTGCTTCCTGTCCAGTCTGGTTTCCGAATTATTTGGATGCCAACAGTTCCCTAAACTAAATTAAAAGCTCACTTGTCTGCGCTCGAGACCCGCACCTGCTTTAAGCTGAATTTGAAGTATTTAGGTTCGCACGTGAGCATAGCGTATCCTTCTTCACTTTCAGTTTCCTAGCATGACTATTTGACGAAATCGCTTTTGGTTACAAACATTTTTGATGTCTCCGAACGCGTGACATATGTGTAAGCAAAAGTTCATTTTTCACCCACGTATAGAAAACATATATTCTCATAAAGTTAGTGCGCTTTAATCAACCTGGTTTCCGGGTTGGCATTTTCAGTTTTAACTTTGATGTATCAGTACATGTAACTTAGGCTCACATGGTGGTTTAGTTTGAAATCCTTAGCTCACACAAGGACTTAGAGCATCCTTATGAAATTTCTACATCTTTTCCTATCTGGTCTTCGAAATCGTTTTTTCCAGCCAAAAAAACTTACACTCTGTTTTCGGCGTACGTACATGAGATCCAGTTGTACGTGAATGATAATTTTAAAGCGGGAGGTTTGCACACAGATTGGGAGCATGCTGCAAAGGTTTGGACTGTGTTTGAAAGGAAGTAGCAGTTTACTTTCGGAGTAATGTGAATACTTTACAGATTTGGAACCATCCCGACATTTTATATGAAGTTTTTGAAAAACGAAAAGCTGAAGGAGAAGTTGAAATGGGTGAGAGAAATTCACAACCGCCCGCACCAAATGTGCTCACTGATAGTTTATCAGGTAATGCAGTGGCGTAGCCAGCTTTTGATCCGTTCTGATGGAGGGGTGAGTGAGCAAGCACCACCTCGGTTTTTGCGGCCCTCTCTTTTCTGAAGCCTCTCTCAGTTTATTCAATTGCTGCAGTTGTTTCGGTGTTTTAACTCGAAACTTGTTTTGCTTTCGAATACGATTTTCATTTCCTCGTAAATGATTTTCCAATTATATCGTGTTATTTTTTGCTGTCAGTTTCGGCTTAAGCTGGCTACGGTTTTGTACGCTCTCGTAAAATTTCACAGTCCCTTGTTCAAAAAATTATTTTACTTTCGTATAAGCCTGGGCTGTTGCTTTTCGATTATTCCTGTATTTCCGTTTTTATGCTTTTTTTGCAGCAATGCAATGCGAAAAACGCATATTGACGAGAGGTTGTCTGTGTGTCCGTGTGTCTCTTTGTGTGCATCTGTCACGCACTTTCATCTCAGGACCTATAAAAGCTGCGGGCTGAAATTTCGGGAACTTAATCTGCATGCGCGTACCGCCCCCAATTCGCAAAATGGGCACCAAAACCCGCGTGGTACCCGCGTACGGGCCCGCCAAAGTTTTTTTGGGGTCAGTTCATAATTCGAGGATCTGAGAAGCAAGAACGCTGAAATCTTGGGATAATGTTCCTCGCCCAACCGGGTATTAGTGGGCTCAAACCCAGCCCCGGGTAAGCGTGGTACCCGCGTACG